CAATACTAATTTTAAGGCTATCCTAGAGGCAACCCTCGTGGCACGGTGGTTAAGAGCTCAGCTGCTAACTGAGAGGTCGGCAGTTCGAATCCACCAGGTGCTCCCTGAAAACTCTATAGGGCAGTTCTACTCTGTCCTATAAGGTCGCTATCAGTCAGAATCGACTCAACAGGCAACGGGTTGGCTTTGGTTTTTCAGACGCTTCCTAAATAAAATTCTGAAGCATTTCTGAATTATGGTTCTCCAGAAATGAAGGAAAAGCAAGAGATCAATATAAAAAGTCCTGGTGGTGCAACGGTTAAGCGCTTGGCTGCTAACTGGAAGGTTTGCAGTTCGAACCTACTCAGCCACTCCACATGGCAAAGACCTAGTAATGTGCTCCCATAAAGATTACAGCCTAGAAAACCCTATGGGGCTGTTCTACTGTCACATGGGGTCACTATGAGTTGAAAATCAACTCAACAGCACCTAACAACGATGATATAAATACACCAAACAGATTATTTAATTTTGCTATTTTATAGCTTAAACTATCGTTAAGGATTACATCTTACAGTCTCACATTAACGTAAAATATAAATGTATTATTAACTTAATATAACAAGCATGAAATGTAAATTTTCATGCCACATTCCGTAAGTAGATGTTATTTGTGTAAAGTAAAAAACTACCACCTGTTTTAGTTCTGTTTTAGTTCTTTTAGGCAATTGATGGCCTCCCATCAGATTGCAATCTAAAGTATATATTCAAGATACTCAAATATCACATAAATTTTATCAATAATCTTTCTATTAGTATAAATTTTCCATGTTTTTTCTTACCCTGCACTACTTAAATTCCTGATATAAATGCTGTGCCAAAAACAAAACAAAACAAAAGCAAACCCGTTGCCGTCAAGTTGATTCCAACTCACAGCAACCCTACAGGACAGAGAACTGCCCCATAGGGTTTCCAAGGACCAGCTGGTGGATTTGAACTGCCAACCTTTTGGTCAGCAGCCAAGACTTTTAATTCCTTCATACCACAAGTATGCAGTGAAACTTTTCAAAATATATCCATTTCTTCATATTTCTAAATAAACTTAAATCAATTTTTATACTGTTATATAATTCAAAAAATACATTCCTATAAAATTTTGTTCAAACACTCCATAAAATATTATCATTTTAAAATGCAATTTTACTAAAAAAAAGAAAAAAAAAAGCAATAAAACAAATTCACAAAATAAATAAAAGATCACATTTGTTACTCAGATTTATAAATATCCAACTTTCAAACATATCCATGCAACAGTCTCACTCCGGTGCTCATTCGATTCAGTACTTTCCGCTTCAATGATAGTTTGAAGAAACCTCAGTACTTGTCTTAGAATAACAGTTCTCATTATACATGTCAAAACCAACTGGTAACATTTTTAGAATGACGTTGGCCACGACCCCTAACAGACCTCTAGGAAGAACACATACACGTAGTTGGAGAAAGTTCTCCAGTTCTCCCAGGGAAGACCTGGGCTGCCCTCCTCTCCTTTGCTACCTTCCCTATGAGACAGACACACAGTTTTAGGTAATCTACAGTTTGAGAAGTCAAGTAAAAAAGATGTGAAAAGCAGAAATACTTCAGTGTGGCTGAAGCAGAGCAGATTCCCACACAGAGCTGTCCTTACCTTCTGCCCTCTACCTCCAACTTCATCTACTAAATCATGAGTGCAGTCCTACAGTGAGGGGCCTAGGACTCTACAAAGGCATTGGGAACTGTGGGGGAGGACCAGGAAGTGGGAATGATAAGAAAAGCAGGAAAAAGTATGCCAAAACTTGCCTCGTCTGCTTGGTAGAGAGAAAAGTAAAAGGCATTATTCTATTCTATACTGCAGGGCGTCTGCTCGTATGAGTCAGAATCCAGGTTAACACCTTAGAGGTCAGCAATTCTGCAACAGCCTGGGAGGCATCACCATTAACAGCTTTCTTTCCACAGGAAACACTCTCAGAGACTAAACATTTTAGAACACCATTTATAAGTTGGGAACTGCTTGAGTTAGCATTTCAGTCCTTTTGTTTTCTGGGAAGCTATGATTATTAAGATGAATAAAGGTAATGACCTAAATTTTATAAACTAAAATTTATAAACTAAATTTTGTCACATGCTTTAATAAAGAAGTCGTAATTTAAACACACAACAAACTGTTACTCTATTTAGACCAAACAAATAAATAAATAATCGATGAAAGAAGGTTCTACAAATATAGTAGTATATATAAACAAGAATGTTTAATAGTTATTCATTACACGTAAGCTGTTGCCGTTGAGTTGATTCCGACTCATAGCGACACTACAGGACAGAGAACCGCCCCATAAGGTTTCCAAGGAGCGGCTGGTGGATTTGAACTGCTGACGTTTTGGTTAGCGGCTGAGCTCTTAACCACTGAGCCACCAGGGCTCTTTATTCATTATAGACTCATTTATTCTGATGCTGTGCTAAACCTGTCTGAATAGCGTCACCATGAGTTGGACATCGACTCAGCGGCACACAACGACAGTAGTATCCACGAAGAAAACAATCAATTCAGCCTCAGAAAGGGATCAACAGATTCTTCTTCAGTCATTCGTTTTTGATTCATTGGTAAAATATATCTTTTGTCTCTTCTGTCACTAGAGAGCTACTGGCAAGTTTCAGTTAAGATACCTATTTTCAGACTTGTTGTTGTTGTTAGGTGCTGTCGAGCTGGCTCTGACTCATAGCAACCCTATGTACAACAGAAGGTAACACTGCCCAGTCCTGCGCCATGCACACAATCCTTGTTATGCTTGAGCCCATTGTTGCAGCCACTGTGTCAATCCATCTCACTGAGGGTCTTCCTCTTTTTCGCTGACGCTGTACTTTACCAAACATGATGTCCTTCTCCAGGGACTGATCCCTCCTGACAACACATCCAAAGTATGTAAGATGTAGTCTCGTCATCCTTGCTTGTAAGGAGCATTCTGGTTGTACTTCTTCCAAGACAGACTTGTTCGTTTTTTTGGCAGTCCATGGTATATTCAATACTCTTCACCAACACTACAATTCAAAGGTGTCAATTCTTCTTCCGTCTTCCTTATTCACTGTCCAGCTTTCGCATGCATATGATGCGACTGAAGATACCATAGCTTGCAGCCATCTAAGATACTCCTCTGGTCTCACCCCTTTGGGAGCAAGGGAGAATGAAGAAAACTAAAGACACAAGGGAAAGATAAGCCCAAAGGACTAACGGATCGCAACTATCACGGCCTCCACCAGACTGACTCCAGTACAAGTAGATGGTGCCTGGCTACCACCACTAACTGTTTTGACAGCGATCACAATAGAGGGTCCCGGACAGAACTGGAGAAAAATGTAGAACAAAATTCTAACTCACAAAAAAGGACCACTTACTGGCCTGACAGAGACTGGAGAAACCCCGAGATTATGGCCCCTAGACACCCTTTTAGCTCAGTAATGAAGTCACTCCCAAAGTTCACCCTTCAGACAAAGACTGGACAGGCCCATAAAACAAAATGAGACTAAAGGGGCATAACAGCCCAGGGGCAAGGACTAGAGGGCAGGAGAGGACAGGAAAGCTGATAACAGGGAACCCAAGGTCGAGAAGGGAGTGTTCACATGTTGTGGGGTTGTTAACCAATATCACAAAACAGTATGTGTACTAACTGTTTAATGAAGGTTCTGTAAACCTTCATCTAAAATACACTAAAAAAAAAAAAAAAAACGAAAATATCATGGCTTGGGTCAGGCGCACCTTAGTCTTCAAGGTGACATCTTTGCTTTTCAATACTTTAAAGAGGTCTTTTGCAGCAGATTTGCCCAATGCAATGCGTCTTTTGATTTCCTGACTGCTGCCTCCATGGGTGTTGATTGTGGATCCAAGTAAAATGAAATCCTTGACAACTTCAATCTTTTCTCCGTTTATCATGATGTTGCTTACTGGCCCAGTTGTGAGGATTTTTGTTTTCTTTATTTTGAGGTGTAATCCACACTGAAGACTTAAGAGTCTCCAAAAAGTGTTTATGTTAAAAAATGAATAAATGAGATCTTGGCAAACAGAATTTTATATTACTGAGAGAAATTGTTCATTAAGCTTAAATTGAGGTAAAGCTAAAAAAAAAAAAGGGAAATCTAATAGGACTCTACCTTTCCAGGTCCAGCTATTTGTGCCTCAGGTCTTACGTTAAATGATAAAAAATTAAACACCCTGTTTAATGACACAGTTTGGCTGTTAAGATCCTGTCCAGTCTTCACGGGTGAGGATTTAGCATACCCTTGTCATTTATGCCTATATACGATACTCTCAAGAGAGAGACATCATAATCTAATCAAATGACAGATCAAGAAAACTGCTCTCATGCTGCTGAGCCATGTTTTTACCGATGACAGCACAATGCACAATAAATTTTGACATCAGACTACAGCAGAATAGCAGGTATCTTTTAAGATTTAATTAAACATGCCTAGGTGGCACAAATGGTTTAACTACTAACCTCAAGGCTGGCGGTTCAAATCCACCTAGCAGTACCACAGAAGAAAGGTCTGACAATCTGTTGCCATAAAGATTATAGCCAAGAACACAGGAAATCAAGGGTGGAAAGGCGGAGTGTGCTGTCACAGCATAGGGAGAGCAAGTAAGGTCACTCAACAATGTATGTACAAATTTCTGTATGAGAGACTAACTTGAATTGTAAACTTTCACTTAAACTACAACAATTAAAAAATAAAAAAAATAAAAAGATTATAGCCGAGAAAACCCTATGCAGCAGTTCTACTCTTTAACATAAAGGTTTGCCATGAGTCGGAATCGACTTGATGGAAACGGGTCTGGTTTGGTTTTAGTTTATTATCTAGAAGAAGTCAGTTTTTCTACTGGGTAGCCTGGTCTGTTATGGTTTACACCAAAAAGATTAACAAGCTTTCCCCAAAATTACTTAACAGTTCCCAAAGTATAAACTGACACATGAATACAGTTTTAGACAATGTACCTGCGTCCTCGTACTAGCAATCTTGAGGCTTTTCCTAGTAATTCAACTGCCTGTCGTAAGCGCTCCTCATTCTGAAAGAATGCAAGGAAAGGGAGTGTTGGCTACTTTAATGCAGAAAACTCTTAAGAATAGAGTTCGGTTGTGAGCATAAAAAAGTTTTAAAAAATAGTCACCACATTTCTCTTTGTTTTCCTATATATTACACATTTCACAAACGTTCTGAGTACTTGAAGAAAGAAAATAAAATTCAAACTTACTTCAAACACATTAGCTGTCTGCTGATATAACTGTACAGCCTTTTCTGGATCCACATTTTCTATAAGCCTGAATTAGAAAAATACGACTTACGTGAGAAATAGCAACTGTGTTTCAAAGGATTTTATTAAAACAAAAATACTGATAACTTCTATTCATTGTGGTTCTAACAACAGTTGTACACACTCACTTCCCCGCTCGCTCCAATGCCATGGCTGCTGTGTCTGGGGTGCCATTTTCCAGGTACATCATGCTAGCTTTCTCAATCAGCTGAACGGCCTCTGGTAGTTTCTGCATCTCCTTTTAGCAAAGAATACAGCATGAATCAGAAAATATATAACTTAGGAACACAGAGTAAATAATCTGAAATTCAATTATTTTATCCTTAATTCATGAAAGTAAGTGACTCAAAAATTTTGTTGGTGGTGGTGGTGTTAGCTGTCGTCAAGCAGGCCCCCGACTCATGGCGAGCCCAGGCACAAGAGAACAAAACACTGCCTAGAGCCATCTCTATGATCAGTTGTGGACTGGACTGGTGTGACCTGTACACAGGGTTTTCAATAGCTGACTTTTGGAAGCAGATTGCCAGGGCTTTCTTCCTAGTCTGTCTTAAAGCTGAAAGCTCTGCTGAAACCTGTTCAGCACTATAGCAACATGCAAGCCTCCACTGACAGATGGGCAGTGGCTGCCCACGACGTGCACTGGCCAGGAATCACACCCGGGTCTTCTACATAGAAGGCAAGAAATCTACCACTGAACCACCACTGCCTGCTACAAATATTATAAAACAATATATTTAAAATGAGATGCCTTCATACCATCACTCTCCCAATCAAGCTTCACTTAACCAAATCAAAAAAATATCAGTTAATTTCTACCCATTTCTCAATTACTTCAGTTTCAGGAAAACTACACAAAAAAGAAAAAAAAAAACCACAGATAATCTTGCTCTTCACTGTTTTGTAAGCATTTAAAATTCTTCAAACATTTACTGAGTCCCTAATATATACAAACCTATTGCCATCAGGTAGATTCTGACTCATAGTGACCCTGTAGGACAGAGCAGAACTGCCCCATAGGGTTTCCAAAGCTGTCATCTTTCCAGAAGCAGACTGCCACATCTTTCTCCCGTGGAGTGGCTGGTGGGTTTGAACCGCTCACCTTTCAGTTAGCAGCCGGGCGCTTAATCACTGCAGCACCAGCGCTCCTAATCTATACAAAGCCTACGCCAAAGACTGCAAACTGGTAGCCCAAGGGCTGCATCTCATTTCCAAGTGCATTCTGCTGGAACCAAACAGTACTTTAAAATCAGATACCTCACCAAATTTCTGTTTTATGGCTTCCGTGGAAAAATACGAAAAGCTATGGTAGCAGTAGGCTTACATTCCCGCACGGCAACAGTGCGCCAGGGCTGGGCAGCGGCTGTCTCCTTCAGCCAAGGCATACCACCTCCTGGAGCTGGCTGCCTTTCTCCCCACCGTGCTGCCGCACACACCCGGCCTGCCTCGTTCCTTTCAGTTACTCCCCTGCGCCTGAGTTCATCTAAGTCTTAACCCTCTTCTGTGCCATTACAGGATAAATTCCATCTCTTACTATTAAACTATAGGTCTCAGCATCTTGTGGTCCTAATATCTAATATCTCCAAATATTAAAAATTTTTAAAAATCATTTAAAAGATAGTTATATCTTAAATTAGGCTCCATGATGACATCTCACATATTGTTTTTAAATATGCCTATTAAATCCCTAAGTTGACAAATTCATTATGATATCCCTAAGAAAACTGCTGGCCTCATCCTACCAAGATTTACATCTGTAGTAACTCTTTTATCATTGAACTATGGTGACTAGGAGCCCGGGTGGCGCAGTGGTTAAGAGCTTGGCTGCTAACCAAAAAAGTTGGCAGTTGGAATCCACCAGCCGCTGCTTGGAAATCCTATGCAGCAGTTCTACTCTGTCCTATACAACAGACTGAACAATACTACATGAAATAAATGTTATCATTTACTCAAAGGGAATGATATCAGTTATCACTTCCCCAAATCTCAGTGAAAAAAATCTTTTTTACATCTATAGAAACCAAAGGTCAATGAAAAGAATGAGAGCCTAGAGTACATGAGGAGGAAGGGGAGGCAAACCAAACAAAATCTCCTTCACCCACTTCAGTCCTGAGGCTTGCTTCTGGCTTTTGCAGAGTATTTCTTCCCCCAATTCACCTATCCATTAATTCAACAAGTATATACTGAACATCTACAATATACAAAGCATTTGAGGGGATAAAAGGAAACATAACACAGGGTACTATTGTTTCTAAGTTTTACACTAGTAGATAAGACATACAGAGCTATTAACTACATTACAAGGCCGCATGAAAAAGGTATCATATAAGTCAAATATTTAAAAAATAGTAACTACATCTCCCTACTTTTGCATCAAATCAAGCATGATTATGAATAACAAAGGCCCAACCACAGTACTAATACCGCTCCATGAAAAAGACAGGCTGCCTACTTAACCCTTCACCATGTTCTTCCAGCATGGCAGAATCATGAAGCCGAATATTAAAATATGCCTATTTTCAGTGGCTTGGTGCCTCAGTGACCTTATTGCTCCTCTGGGGCAAACAGGATATGAAATCACATAAAATGTGATAAATGACATAAAATGTCATAAAATGACAGAATCAGAAATTAATCCAACTAGTCCCTACGGAGTCCCTCAAGCTTCCACCTACAAACTGGCATTCCCTAAGTCTCTCTGGAGGATGAACGTGAAGGTTTGTATGACCAATTGGATATTTTAATCACAGAACTAATTTTGGACCATGTAGCTCAAACCCCACAATGTTGCGCAGGACTGTACAAAAGCATGACATTTAAATACAAGACCATGCCATAAGCATTTTCCTTAGTCTGTATCCCATCCATTAAGTTTATTTTCCCTTCATTCAAAGTGGTGCTTTTCAAACCTCAAATTAAACAGATTATTGAACAACAGAAAAGAGCCTGAATAATAACAACTCTTTATGAAGACTCAAGTCTTAGCACAGCCCTTAGAGCATAAACTGGCTAGTGTAGCGTGAGGATTACAGTGCTATAGTACTTCTGTATGAAAACAGCACATCCTAATAACAGGTGCAGGTACACTGAGACTATGACGGTCACCTGGGAACCTGCTAGTTGTCAAGGGAAACTGAGAGACAGGAGAAGTGCAGGGCAGACCCCCAGCTTCTTTGGCACAACAGAAATTCCAGTTGCTAAGGAAATGCTGCTGATAACCTGCCTTATGTAACTAAATATAAATTTAGTCGCATACTTCAGTCAGAAAAGCTTTATTTTGATGGCTATACAATAGTTTATTACTAGGGAGTATCATAATTTAAATATTTTCCTATTATTAAAAACTTAAACAATTGCCATTTTTTCCCATAAACAACGCAGCAATAAACATTCTTACGTGTAAATCTTTGCTATCTATTTCTTTTTGACAGACTCACAGAATTGGAATTCCTGGGTCAAAGGCTATGAAAATTCTTAAAGCTCTTGAGATACATTATGAAAGTATTTTTCGAAATGATGTAAGAAAATTTACATGATAAAATGCAGACAGCAAGATGCAAAACTGTGCATAGAGTATAACCTCAGTTTGTAAATGTGTAAGAAAATGTCCATGTATAAAAAAAGACTAGAAGGAAAAAATTAACATGTTGATACTTATTAATAATTTTTTAAATCTTTCCGGTATTTTCCAAATGTTCTACAATGAGCACGCATTCACTTAAAAAAATAACTTAACATTACAAAAGTCACAGAAATTAAAAACACAAACTTGACTAAAGTATAAGTTCTTAAAACAAAGCTTTATAATAAATAATTCAAAATAGCTTTTAACATATTAGAGAACAAACATAAAAACGGAAAAGAACATTTTCTATCTCGACTGCCATCTGGCACACTCTCAGAGTCGGTGTCATGAAGTAATATGTTCTGTCTCACCACAACAGGATATTAACTCCCAACTTGCTTTTAAGAACCAGAAATATTTAAAGCAGCATAGGCTCATTAGCAAAATACTCCATTCAGAAAGAATGAGAGTTAAACTAGCAAAAAGGCTTAAGTCTTTTGGCTCTCTTTGCTGCCAACTGATACTTGTGAAACAAGCAAAAATGTCTTCTTTCTATATAACCCATGGACAGTAAAGAATACATATGAACCTTTAGTACATTAAGATGTCCTGGTTACAGTGTTGTTCCCAGTTCCCTTCATTAAATTTTCTTACATTTCACTTTAAACTCCCTATTTTAAGACACACAGAATATACTTGATGGGTCCAGGAAGCATTACTTAGGACGTGGAATCATAACTTAGCTATCTCTTCCTTTATAGCAAGGAAGCTTTCAACCTCAACTTATCTTTTACTCTAATGGCTTACAGTTCATTCATTATACCTAGAGAACAGCTGTGACAAGACAGGAGAACTACCGTACTGACCTTCAACATCATGCCAGCTTGCTCATAGGCTCTGCAAAGAGAATATAATTTCTCCGATTAGACCTTAATTAGGTAAGGGGAAAAAAAAAAAAAAAACCAAACCCACTGCTGTCAAGTCAATTCTGACTCATAGCAACCATACAGGACAGAGGAGACTTGCCCATACAGTTTTCAAGAAGCACCTGGTGGATTTGAACTGCCGACCTTTTGATTAGCAGCTGTAGTAGCTCTTAACCACTACGCCACCAGGGTTTCCCATTATGCAAGAGGAAGGAGAAACCTACTACTTGTACAGGGAGTTATCTCAATTAAAGTTATCTCAGGCACAACACATTACTTGAGGTTTGTATTACTACACAACGTAATTTTCTTTTTATTTTTTGTGGGTGATTACTCCTTAGAAACATCAGACATTTGAGCTAAAAGGGATTTTACTTTGCAGATGCAAAATTAAGTAAGGGTCAAGAAAGGTTAAATGACTTTCTATTAGACAAGTTTTAAAACAAATAAGTACTCTCTAAAAAAGCTGGAAGAAGCTTCTTGTTTCTCTTCCACAGGCACTATTAAGTAACAACAAAGAGGGGGGGAAAAGAGATTCTAGCTCACTTGATTTTTCAAAGGCTGTTAAACAAATGGTCCTAAAAATACGATACCAATTTTAATTTAAACATCTCTTAGCTAGGGGTGGCTCTGTTTCTATGGTTTAAGTGACACCAAGCTAAAGGGAAATGACTATTTTACTTAAGTTAATACAAAATAATTCAGTAATTATGAATTTACAACTTGGGAAAAATTTAATTAACTATAGAAAACAACATTTAAAACATATAATCTGCAAATGCATAAAAACGTGGAGAATATTTACTTACTTGGCAGCATGAAAAAGACTGAATGGATGTCACAAAGTGAAAATTAAGGAAAAAAAAAGGGAATCAACAATTTCTAAAGATCTACTACCTAAAAGACAAAATTAACTAAATCATTGCCCAATTGGTCCCAAAGACAAACCCTACAAACAGATACAGCAAAAATAATTTACTGCCTGTTGATGTTGCATGTATAATTCACAAAAACACTGACAAAACACCCCATAGACTTTAAACTATTTCCATCATGCGCTGATTTGAAGAGTTTCATCAAAATGCAAAGTCATTAGGACTACAATTTGCAAGTGAGATAAAATACTCAGTTTAGTCAGTAAGTTTTCAAACATATTAAAAAAATTTAGTTTAAAAGTACATATAAGTCTTACTTCAGATACCTGAGAAAGATCATGTTTTAAATAAAATTTATATAGCAATTTATACATTTCCAGTACCTGTGCTACATCTTCGTCTTCAGCAGTGATATATGGATTTCACTTACTTCAGCCCAAATAAAACCGTCATCAATCAAACCCAGAAACAGAAAATAAATGAGTCACTCCGGACTCTCAAAAGCAGCTCTGCAAACCAACGTGGACCAGATGATCAAACCCCACTACACATGCTCCTCTGGAGTTTTGAACTGCATAATTTTTCTAATTTAAAAGCACTGTACTTCACATGCAGCAAATATTTAACAAGAAAAAACAATTAGTTTCTGTCAAAATCATCTAACTGTTGAACTCCTTTTGAAAAGCTGGAAAAGATACGCCCTGTTATTCTCATGTGCAACAGCTTCTCTCAGGCAGGCATCCTTGGCTTGCTCAAACTGTTTGGCATTTTTAAAAGCAACAGCTGAAACAGAACAGAAAAAAATAACTTTCTATTTCCATTACTGAAAAATATCAGATGAATCATTAGTGAAATGTGCATTATGGGTAAAGTATTAGAAAATATACTTATTTCAACCAAATACTTAGAAAGTTTCATAAAACTATAGAATACTACTTTTTATCTAAAGCAATTTTCACACAACTTTTGTGACGATCAATTAATTTAGAAATATTTTCAAGAGTCTTTTTTTTTTGTTTGTTTTAAACTGTTGACTCTTGGCAACAAGTCAGTGTTACTTCCAATCAAAATCCAGAAGTGTTTCCAACACCAACGTCTAAGCTTTGAGAAACTAAGCATCCATCAAACTAACACTCCCGAATTACCGGGAGGTGCTTTCTGCCACCAGACAGTAGCTCACATCATCGGCTTTACATTTAATAATAAAAACAGTGCTTTAAAAAGTCAGTTATAGCTAGTTCATCTTTTGAGTTATTTAGAAACAGAAAACCAATAAATACATTAAATACTTACAACAAACCCGCCTGGTTGATACAATCTTTAAATACGTGCATTAACAACACATTTTTTTTTGTTTTTTTGTTTTTAAACAAAGCTTATACACTGTTTCGGCGTCTGTGAAACCGACAATTCACTGTCCAAAGAGCTAAGTGTATACTGCTAGTGTTGTAGAAGTATCTTCATCAGGGCAAAACAATTGGAAGTGGCCCCAAAATATGATCTTAGAAATTTCTGGAAAACTTAGCAAGGTTGCTTGTAAACAAGGAGACAAAAGTGGAAATCATACTGCCTTGAGAAAACATCTTTTTTTTTTAAAATCATGCTCATATAAAATTTGCTTTACTAAAATGTCGAAAAGAAACAAAATACTGAAACCACTGTCATCTGGATTTCCTCTTTTTTTTTTTTTTTTTAAAATTGTACTAATTATTTATTTTCCATAACAACTTAAAGAAAATAAGCAAAGGCTGCTTTAAGGAGACAATCTAGCCTGGAATATTTTATTTTTGAAAGAGGTTCATGTTGTCAGATGCACACAAAATAAATATGTTAAATTGCTTTCATTGAGAAGACTTGTAAAAATGATGCCCCTCCAATTATAAAAGTGTCCAGAAGAGGTATAAAACAATGCTAAAGACCTGCATCTGTGTACCACCAACCCTATCCCTATCTGCTGTCATGAAAGACAGGTAGCAGGATCGCCAACTCAGCCCTCAACACACCTGAACATCAGTGAGAAAAAATGCAAGGGCTTAATGCATTTTTTAATAGCTATTGCAATTTGACAGGAAGTATTCAGAATAAATAATTATGCTCAGATGAAGTTATCAGACTGTCCTAAAATTACACACTGGAGTGACAAGGATACAGTCACACGTACCTGCTTTTCCATATTCAGAAGCAGCACTGTCATAATCCGGCTTCCATTTTAAAAAACCAGTTTTCAGGCTAAAATAAAAGGAAGACACGTTTCACATAAGTTGCCAACTATAAGTCAGAACCTCGCTTATAATGATATTTAAAAAAGAAGAAACCATCAGGCACCAACTCCCCATCCAGCCCACCTCCATCCAAACTTACTTATAACTAAATACTCCCACACCACCTGCCCTCCCCGTCATGGAAGTAGTGTTCTCCTTTTAAAATGCCAGCCTAACAGCCACAGAGAGCAGAGGTTCTCTATGTCTGGTCCCCGTACCAGCAGCATCAGCAATACATGGGAACTTGTTAGGCAAATTTTTGTGCCCCATCCCTGACCTACTGATCTAGAAACTCTGTGTTGGGGTATGGCTATGTGTGTTTTAACAAGCCCTGAAGCACAGTAAAGCTTGAGAACCTTTAAGCACAGTATCAAGTGAGCAGGAGTCACAAGACCGGAGTTCAGAGGACCAGCTGCCATCGAGTCCATTGCATCTCATGTGACCCCATGTATGTTAGAGTACAGCTGTGCTCCACAGGGTTTTCCATGGCTGTGTTTTTGAAGTAGATTGCCAGGTCTTTCTTCCCAGGTACCTCTGGGTGGACTCGAACCTTCAACCTTTAGGTTAGCAGCCGAGTGTGTTAACCATTTGTACCACTCAGGGACCTGGAGTTCAGAGGAGGGGCCTAGATATAAACTGGGGACTCATCAGAAAATAGGCATAGACAAAATCACCTAGGGAGACTGTAGAGAGAGGACAGAAAGACAAAGGAATACAAACATTCAGGGGAAAACAAAGGGAGTCAGCGTAAAAGGCTGAGAACCAGCCATCAGTGGAAAGGAAGGATGACTAAGAAAGAGAAGGATGTTATCAAAAGCAAGAGAAGATGCTTTCCATGATCATAATGACTTCTTAGATCCCAAATCAAAGGACAATCAATTGAGTCCTTTTGTCTTTTCTGCAATATTCTTTTTTTATTTTAAAATAATTTCAGATTCATAGTTTAACGTAGCTCAATGACTCTCACACTTGGCTGTATATAAGAATTACTAAGTAAACACCATCTTAAATTCTGAACTTCAATTCAATTAACAGACATCTGCTTACACATGGCACTGTTAGCTTCAGAGGAATCAGGAACTGGGGAAGTACATCCTTGACTGTGAGACAGCGTGGGAACTGCCCAAAGGCCCTAACTTATAACCTTTTTTAGCCAATTAAACTTATTTAACACTTGTTTTGTGTAAGTACTGTGAACAAGATCCAAATCTGCAAGCAACTTTTAAAGCTTACCAAGAATTTTATTGCTCAAAAAATAAAATCCTTAAATTGCAATATATGTCTAATTTAACTCCAAAGCTCTCATTATATTCTGTATACTAACATATTTTTTTTAAACTCCACCAAAAACAAGATACAATCACTCAATTATATCCATTGTACTATACATGGAAAGAACCAGTCATTAAAGCTTGTCAATTCTACTTGATAAAGGTTGCCCAATCCTGCCCCCTTTACCCTTACAGCCTTCTCACCTGCCTACAGCACCTTAGTGGGAGTCACCTTTCCTGCTCTGTCCTCCTCTCTATTCCCCTCACCCTGGGAAATTAACTTTTCCTTTCTTTGTACTTTCACCATAACCCCTGTATAGTTAACACCTCATTTTTACTCATCTGTTTGTCTATTCTCCTATAAATTTTAAACTTTGAGAAAGGGACCACTTTCAGGTCACCCCTATATCCCCAGTGGCCAGTACACAGCAACAACTTTGTAAACGTTTGCCTACTGAATATGCCAAAGTTCTCACCCTGCTCCAGTCCATTCTCCAAGTTTCCACCTCATTTATTTTGCCAAAAACAAATCTAACCACATCCACTGATTATTCAACGCCTAGAATAGATAAGATTCAAGGCTATTAAAACAGGAGCCCCTTCACAGTCTGTCCCGTCCTCTTCTCCGCTCTCGTGCTTCTTGTGGCACTCTACCTACTATGTTTACTGTTCCCTGTATACCTCTTCAGCCCTGGTGGCACAGTGGTTAAGAGCTCAGGCTACTAACCTAAAGGTCGGCAGTTGGAAACCACCAGCTGCTCCTTGGAAACCCTACGGGACAGTTCTATTCTGTCCTATATGGTCACTATGAGTCGAAATCAACTCAACGGCAACGAGTTTGGTGCCCCTCTCTGGTTAAAAGCTCTGCTGCTAACCAAAAGGTTGGCAGTTCAAATACACCAGCCCCTCACTGGAAACCCTATGGGGCAGTTCTACTACAAGGTCGTTATCAATCAGAATCGACTGAAGGGCAGCGGGTTTGGTTTTTTGTGCACCGTACCGCACCCTGTGCATAGAATCTCTCTCACGATTTCCCTGTCTAAAAAGTCTTATTTTTCAGGCCCTGCTCAGAAATCACCTCTCTATAAAACCTTCTTAAATTTCCCCAGGCAGAATAAACTCCTCCCTCTATGTTACCAAAGCACATTTAACACATCTCTATTACAGTCCTTATCACACACTATTCTATTTTTGTGTTTGCTCCCACTAGAAAGTGAGACTGTCTGGGCACCTCCTGCACCAAGAGAGACCCTCCCCTCACCACCTTACACACTGCCCGGAAGTAGTGGGGTACAAAGGGAAGAGTTTTGAGTTTTTCTACTGTTCGAAAATTGCCTCTGCCACTGTGCAGCCTGGGAAAGTCATTATGAGGTTTCTGAGCCTCGTTTCCTCTTCGGTAAAATAACACTGTCTAATTAGAAAATTGTGAAGATCTCAGATTACGTATATGGAGCACCTATAACAGAGCACAAAGCAGAGTCCTCACTGTCCGTAATTACTAGATAATAGTTCGTTGGAATAATGAATTCATAAGTTTACTGGGGGGGGGGGGGGGTTGTGACAAAAGGAATGATGAAAGGAGAATCAGTTCAGTTCCATAAATATTTGTTGGGTGCCTACGAGACACCGTACCAGAAGTCGACAGAAAAACACTGAGGAAGCACAGAGTTCCTGCCCCAGGGACAGTCCGATGGGAAATGACAAGATTCATCGAGGCATTTTCTGAGTAAATCTGCAGCCCACTCCCCCGACACAGGGAGTGTTTCAGAGCAGTGGTTCTCAACAGGGCGACTGTGTCTCGCAGAAGGCATTTTTGGCTGTGGGAAAAGAGGCTGCTCCTGGCATCTGGTATGTAGAGGTCAGGGATGCTGCTGAACATCCTACCGCGCACGGGGCAGCCCCCAGCACAACGAACCATCGGTCCGGAGTGCAGAGGTTGACAAATTGTTTCTCAGGAAAAGCCGCAGGGCTTAAAGGAAACGTAAGGGCTGCCCGGGCCCCTCCTCCCACCGGGACACCAGCTCAGGAAAGCGGACTACTTCCGGCGAGAAGGGCGGCCGGCGCTGCCCGAGGGGCCGCGGCCCTGTCCCGCTCCCGGGATCCCAAGCTCTGGGGGACTCCGAGGTCCCCCGCAGCCTCCCCGGGCCGTCAGGGCGGCCCCACCCACATCCCTGCCCCCTCCCTCAACCCCGCAGGGCCTTGAGACCAGGCCATGAGGTCACGGGCCCAGCGGCCGTCCGTAGAGTCTCTCACTCACTATTTCTCTGCTTTAGCGAGGTGCTCCAGCCCCTCGTTTATTTTTTGAGCTGCCATCTCCAGAGCCCGGTGCCTGACATGGGCCGCAGATGCGCCTCTTCCCCTCGGCCCGAAAGCGCCAGGCCGCCTACCTATGGGAATGCAGAGACGGAAACGGACGTCTCGACAGAAGAGCGGGCTACGGCAGCGCGGAGGGCTCAAGCCGGCTAACGCAAACGCAGTGATAAGGGCGGCTTTGCCCTAGCAGTGGACACGTCGCGCAGGCGCAGAGCGCCAGGGCTCGGCAGGCTGACGCGGCTTCTGGTGCAGGTGTGGGCTTTCTGTAGGATGTTTCTGTAGGGGTACTTAGTGTTTGATTCGTTCGTTTGTTCATTCATTCACTCATTCACTTATTCACTTCATCGTTCAGTCAACAAATAGTTACTGAGTACCTAATTTATCAGGCACTGCTCTAGGCGCCAGAGAATCAGCAGGGCTTGTAACATACAGAAACCCCGCCCCCACGTAGCCTTGCTTTCTTGTTCAAGTGAAAAAGATCTGGACCCTCCTTGTAGAGTTAATTGACATTATAACTCATTACATCTGACGTTTCTGTATATAATAGCTAGAACAGCATTCATTTTGAGCTCTACTTACATGTCAGTCAGTATGCTACTTGCGAAGAAAGGGCAGGCGATCTACTTCCAAAAAATCAGCCATTGAAAACCCTATGGAGCGCAGTTTTATTTTGACGCACATGGGGTCGCTATGAGTCCAGCTGACTAGAGGGCAGCTGGCTTGGTTTTGGTTTATGCTACCTACAAAGTACACAGTGGTGAACAAAACAGACAGTGTCAAAAACCAAATTTGTTGCCGTGCGGTTGATTCCGACGCATAGCGACCCTATAGGACAGAATAGAACTGCCCCATAGAGTTTCCAAGCAGCTCCTGGTGGATTCAAACCGCTGACCTTTTGGTTAGCAGCGGTAGCTCTTAACCACTAGCCACCAGGGTTTCCAGACAGACAGTAAGCTCTGATTATTGTCAAATATTACCAACTGTGGCAAGTGCTCTGAATGAAAAGTTCAAGGTGTTATGATCGCTTGCAATAGCCTAGTAGAAATAATAGCTGATAATATAGTTGGCTCAAGGAGCCCTGGTGGTGCAATGGTTAAAGTGTTCGGCTGCTAACCAAAAGATTAGAAGTAGAAACCCACCAGCCTCAGCAAGAGAAAGATGTGGCAGTCTGCTTCTGTAAAGATTACAGCCTTGGAAGCTCTATAGGACAGTTCTACTCTGTCCTATAGGGTCAGTATGAGTTGGTATAGACTCAAGGGCAGTGGGTTTTTGGTTTATTTAATATAGTTGGCTCAATTCTCTGTCATAATCCATGGTGACTTCAATATCCATATTGCAATCCCTATACAGCCTCTCAGTTTCTAACCTCCAATGGTCTTTTCTTACACCCAGCTCAGCTACCCATTCCCACAATCCTATCTTTGACCTTGGTGTTGTGGTTGTTAGCTGGCATTGAGTCAGCCCCTGCCCCATGGTGAGTCCATGCACAATGGAAGCTGATTGCCAGGCCTTTCTTTCTAGTCTGCCTTAGTCTGGAAGTTCTGCTGAAACCTGTACAGCATCATAACAACAAGCAAGCCTTCACTGACGGATGGGTGTTTGCTGTGCTTGGGTGCACTGAACAGGAATTGAACCCCAGTCTCCCGCATGGTGAGAATTCTACCACTGAACCACCTCCGCCCCCATCCTTGACCTTACTAATCACTAATAACTGCCTGTCCTCCATAGTATCAGTTTTAAGAAGCCCACCCTAACTACCCCTTTCTGTCATTCCAACTCAATCCTCCTAGTATCAATAGTTCTTTACCTTCAACAGCCAGTGGCGTCACTAGAGGGGTGTGGGGGTGCAGACCACACCAGTGACACTGTCAGACGGGGTGACACCAGAATGACTGTCTACAAAATATTGTGCTGTGGGCACTGGTGTGCAGATGCTGGCAGGCCCCGGGCTGGGTGCTGTGGCATAGCTAGGCCAGGTGCTGGTGCAGGAGGAGGCAGCCCGCAGGCTGCACGCACGCTGGGCCAGGTGCTGGTGCAGGAGGAGGCAGGGTGCAGGAGGAGGCAGGGTGCAGGAGGAGGCAGCCCGCAGGCTGCATGCACGCTGGGCCAAGGCCGTGGTGCACGCGGTGCAGGAGCACCTAGTGGTAGCAGTGCTGGGGCCCCCCTGGGTGCCCGGCCAGGTTCTGTATGGTCTGGTACAGGAGGAGGTCCATGGGGGGTGGTTGACACCCTGAGTTACCGCACTAGGTGACACTAACCACTGAACAGAGCCATTGTCCTTTTCCTATCCTCCTTCCCTCCTTACTCAGCGTAGGTTCTGTGGTCCATCATGTCAGCCGCTGTCTTGCATATACCCTCAGCTTCCTTGGCCCACTCTCCTTTCTGCTAGCCTGGGAAAATCCCAATTCTCCACCTACTCTGTAACTTCTTTTGAGTAAGTGAATGTGGCTGGAGAAAAACAAGCATGCTAACCTTACTCATTTTACAGAGCGTCAACATTGGGTCAACCCTCAGTGCTGCTGAGCAACTGGGCTTCATTTCCCTGGTCAAATCACTCACTCCCTCACTTGGATGGCTATTCCACACCCTCCTTCTTCTCAAAACTCCCATGCAGTTTCCCTGCCTGCCTGCCTGCCTGCTAACTCTCACTTCTTGTTGGATAGAAAATAACAATTACAAGAGCTCTTCTGTTTGGCCTCACAGCCACATCTAGAAATCCACCTGATCTGTCCCCAATCATGCTGCCTTTTCAGCTCTGGGATGACTGATGAAGTATAAACCAAGCCCGTTGCCATCGAGTCGATTCCAACTCATAGCGACCCTGTATGACAGAGTAGAACTGCCCAATAGGGTTTCCAAGGAGCAGCTGGTGGATTTGAACTACTGACCTTTTGGTTAGCAGCTGAGCTCTTTATCGGTGCCTATATCAGGAAGCAGGAGAGCCTTACATTTTTAAGTGAAGTTAGGATTACTAATCACGCATGCCATAAACCTCTAAAACCACTGAAAGTGCCCACAAGTTTTTCTAAGGCGTCTATACCAAAAATCTATAGGCTCCTCATTCTCCCTTATTTGTTCATCCATTTATTAAATAATTATTTCCTGAGCCCCTACCATGTACAAGTCACAGTGCCTAGGCCCCAAGGGCACCATTGTTGAGCCAGAGACATAATGCCTGCCCACTTGGAATTTGTGATCTAGGAGGGAAGATGAATGCGAAACTTAATTTTACTTAAGCATCTGCAAAGAAAGAACGAAAAAGAGAAAATAAGCATAATGGCCCCTTGGCATTTGAGGGTTCTGTGTCCCCAAAGCAACTTCGACCAGGTAAGCCGTGTGTGTTCTAACTTGCATTCATAATAAAGGGGATGAGAGGAAGGAGGATGGGGGACAATAAAGGGGTGACACAAACACCCTCATTTTTTTCCTTTTCCTCTTTCCTTCCTATAATAAGATGGAAGTAGGGACTGAGTAAAGGAAATTTAAACTGACAAGCTGGGTTGGATGAGCTGAGATTAGAAAGATTGGACTGAATGAGAAAAGACTGAGCTATGTAGCGTTCAGACTAAACTTGTGTCAAATTAAAAGAAAAAAAATCAAGACTTAAGTGGACTTCATTAGAGGAAAAACTATTCAAAAGGATTATTGCAAAAGGGGAAGTCCTATCGCAATAGGGAGAACGCTGTGAGCATAAGATCCGCAAGCCTCCCCAGAGTTAATAATAAAAAGGTTTTCTTTTGTACAAAGGAGTAGACAAGGCTAGAAAGAATCAGGTGTGGGGGAGTGAGATGAAAGGGTGAAGTGATTAGCCAGCAGATCAGAGAATGTTCTTCCCTGAGGCCAGCCTGTTCTCCGGGAGGGGCTCTTAAGGAGGGGCTGTATGCTGACTCAGGCCGAGGGTCTGCCAACGTTCAGGGCAGGAGAGGAGCTTAGCCAAAGTTTGGTTAACAAGCATTTTGTTCCAATCTTTCAGTGGGGACAAGCAATTCAACTAGTCATTTATGAGGCAAAGAATGGGAATTTGGAGGGTCTGAGGCGTCCTTGAGTCCTATCTAAGTCATGTGAAGAAGAGTGGTTCTTTGTAGAAAGTTTATTCCCAGAACACAAAAGAGTGGGGAATTTCTAGCCTTTGCTGTTTTTCATGCTGACTGGGCTCAGGTAAAATGCAACATTGTCATCTGATAGCATAACTCAGCATTAGCGGCCCATGAAAATACTTTCTGCCATCACAGCAGCTGCTGCCAGAACCTGATCAAAGGTGGTCTTTGTGCCTTTGATCCATCTCCTAGCTTCCTTTCACAAGCCTTCTCCTGCCTCCTCTTCTAGGCCTTTTCGGAGTCCCCGGGGGACATAAACAGTTAAGTGCCCACGTACTGGTTGAAAGGTTGGCAATGCTAACTCACCCAGAGGTGCCTCGGAAGACAAGCCTGGCAATCTGCTTCCAAAAGGTCACAGCCTTGACAACCCTATGGGGCAGCTGTACTCTGAGCAGGAGTCTACTATGACAACAATGCCCCTTGGGCTTGCTGCTCACCCAAGTGACTCCTTCTGAGCCAATGGAAAGGACTCTGGTTCTAGAAGTTTCTTTTCTTTATCCTACCTCAATAAAAATTTACATTGCCAAGTACTTTACCTGTTTTGGATCTAACTAAAGTGATTCCCATCAAAATGTGAATGAGGCTTTAAACAGCTTATTAACCCAAATCTTTCTCTAGTTATGGCCTAAGTCTGGACAGTCCCTCCATGTTCTTTGTAGACACAAAACAGTCCCCCTTCTCTTGCTTAGCCTGCTACTGGGAAGTAAATTTCTGGGACCACCTCCCTCAGCTGGATATTCAGTGAAGTAAAGGTGTTTGTCATTGCTTGGGGAAAGGGTTTGGATGGCTGGATGAAGTCTGACTATTTCCAACCACTAACCATAATGTGGGAGGCATAGGCGCTCTTATGTCATTTTTATTGTGTTTGTTTGTTTAATTACTAGTACCGCAGCAGTGTTATTTTCTCCTTTCTTTTCCCTTCTTCAAATATACTGCTACCTTAGAGATTAGATACGCTTCTGAGACCTGGCCCAGGAGTGTTACCACAGTTCATGAAATCATTCAA